GCGGCCGTGCGACGGCAAGAGCTGCTGGACGGCCGCCCGCCGGACCTGCCACCGCCTGCTGTTCGCCGCGTCCGAGGCGTCGCGGATTTTCTTCGAGAAGGTGCTGCCCTGCCTGGTCATCAAGTTCCGCTACCTGTGGCTGGGCTGGTTCCTCGCCCTGACGGTGGGGGGCGCCTACATCGTGTGCGTCCACCCCAAGATGAAGCTGCCCTCCCTGGAGCTGTCCGAGTTCCAGGTCTTCCGGGCGTCGCACCCCTTCGAGCGCTACGATGCCGAGTACAAGAAGCTGTTCATGTTCGAGCGCGTCCGCCACGGGGAGGAGCTCCACATGCCCATCACGGTGATCTGGGGCGTGTCCCCCGAGGACAACGGCAACCCGCTGAACCCCAAGAGCAAGGGGAGGCTGACCCTGGACAGCAGCTTCAACATCGCCAGCCCGGCCTCCCAGGTCTGGATTTTGCACTTCTGCCAGAAACTGCGAAACCAGACGTTCTTTTACCAGACGGACGAGCAGGACTTCACCAGCTGCTTCATCGAGACCTTCAAGCGCTGGATGGAAAACCAGGACTGCGACGAGCCGGCCCTGTACCCCTGCTGCAGCCGCTGGAGCTTCCCCTACAAGCAGGAGATCTTCGAGCTGTGCATCAAGAGGGCCATCATGGAGCTGGAGAGGAGCACGGGGTACCACCTGGACAGCAAGACGCCGGGGCCCCGGTTCGACATCAACGACACCATCAGGGCGGTGGTCCTGGAGTTCCAGAGCACCTACCTCTTCACGCTGGCCTACGAGAAGATGCACCAGTTCTACAAGGAGGTGGACGCGTGGATCTCCAGCGAGCTGAGTTCGGCCCCCGAGGGCCTCAGCAACGGCTGGTTTGTCAGCAACCTGGAGTTCTACGACCTCCAGGACAGCCTCTCCGACGGCACCCTCATCGCCATGGGGCTGTCCGTGGCCGTGGCCTTCAGCGTGATGCTGCTCACCACCTGGAACATCATCATAAGCCTGTACGCCATCATTTCAATCGCCGGGACCATCTTTGTCACCGTCGGTTCCCTTGTCCTGCTGGGCTGGGAGCTCAACGTTTTGGAGTCGGTCACCATCTCGGTGGCGGTGGGCCTGTCCGTGGACTTCGCCGTCCACTACGGGGTCGCTTACCGCCTGGCCCCGGACGCCGACCGGGAGGGGAAGGTGGTCTTCTCCCTGAGCCGCATGGGCTCTGCCATCGCCATGGCCGCCCTGACCACCTTCGTGGCCGGGGCCATGATGATGCCGTCCACGGTCCTGGCCTACACCCAGCTGGGCACCTTCATGATGCTCATCATGGGCATCAGCTGGGCCTTCGCCACCTTCTTTTTCCAAAGCATGTGCCGGTGCCTTGGGCCGCAGGGTACCTGCGGTCAGATCCCTCTACCCAAAAAGCTCCAGTGCAGTGCCTTCTCCCATTCCTTGTCTGCCAGTCCTGGGGACAAAGGACAAAGCAAAACACACGCCCTGAATGCTTATCACGTGGATCCCAGGGCCCAAAAGTCTGACATGGAGCATGAGTTTTACGAACTAGAGCCCCTGGCGTCCCACGGCTGCCCCGCCTCCGAGAAGGCTGCTTACGAAGAGACCCGCACCTGCCCCGAGTTTCTGGGCAGCCCCGCGCACGCGGCTCACAACAGCGAGCTGGGCAAAAGCGCCAGGAGCGAGCCAGGCGCCGCGCTGCTGCAGCCACCCCCGGAACAGCACACGATGTGTCACTTTCTCTCTCTGAACCAGAGGTGCAGCTGCCCAAATGCCTACAAACACTTGAAGTACGGCCCGCACCCTTGCCAGCAGATGAGCGACTGCTTGTGCCACCAGTGTGCCCATGCCGCCGGCAGCTTTGTGCACGTCCAGAACGGCGGGGCGGCCCTGAAGGCGGCACACCCGGCCCCCGAGGGCTTCGGGCACCCCATCCCACACATCCGCCACTGCCCCTGCCTGCAGGGCAGAGCAAAAGCGCCCGGAATGCAGAGCCCCCGGCCTCGGAGTTTCTTCCTCCCCCCGGGGCACATCCAGGACCAAACAGGGAAGAGCAGCGCGCACAGCCTGCAGAGCGTCGAGGAGCATCTGCCAAAGGTGGCCGAGCCATCAGCGTTTGTCTGCAGGAGCGCAGGATCTTTACGGAAAGCGTGTTGTGATCCTGAGAGTAACCAAAGGGGACCCGGTCAGATCAGAGACACGGGGAATGTGGCAGGCGGTGCGGGGACTGAAAGCAAGGCCTCCAGTTCAGCGGGTCAGGCCGACAGGGCAGAAACGGGAGCCGAGCAGAGCTCGCCACAGACCGATGTCACTGTGAACTCAGAACGTTTAAATCGGAATGAACCGAAATTTCTATCGAACCATTTAATGGGGGAGGCTGGCTGCGGGTCGTGCCCAAACCGTCCACACGGCTGCGGCAGGGTGGCCAGAGTGAGGTGCGGCTCTGTGCACTGCCAGGTGCCAGCCTTCGAAGGCGGTGTGCCTGCTGTCCTGGCACACTCGGAACTTTCGGGTGAGAGTCTGTTAATAAAAACGCTTTAATAAATATAGTATTAAATTCAGAACCAGCGCCTCGGCTGTTCCTTTGAAACAGAAACCCCAGAGGTTTAGAAAAGGAGCCCCAGAATGCAGAGGTGAAAAGGGTTCACTTTGTTAAAAATCACGGAATGCCCTGATATCCCAGGTCGAACACATGTCTAATGAGTGTTGGCTGATTCTTGGGTTTTATATTTTCAAAAAGTACAGTTGCTTTACATCTCTACCCAGCTTGAAAAATAATTGTCTCTCATAGCAGTGAGCCAGAAATCTGGAGTGTGAGTTACCTGGAATTTTCCATCAACCCGATTTGCCTGATAGCCTTACTCTGGTGCATTTGGTCTTCATTAATTAGGACATTTGATTGCACAACATAAATAGAGCCACTTCCATTGGAATTCAGGAACTAAATGACATTAAAATTTATATTTTTGGGCAAGGCCTCATTTAAAAATCAGTTGCCAGGCATTTTTAAATATATATTGTTATTGATTTTTAGAGAGAGAGGAAGGGAGAGGAAGAGAGAGAAACATCGATGTGAGATCAAAACATCCATCGCTGCCTCCTGCACACCCCCTACTGGGGATCAAACCCAAAACCCAGGCGTGTGCCCTGACTGGGCATTGAACCTGCAACCTTTAGGTACACAGAATGACTCCCAACCAACTGAGCCACAGCGGCCAGGGCACCAAGCATTTTAATAGTGCATCGCACTGGTCTGCCTGAGTAGACTTGACATGAAGCCAGTGACACATTTATAGCCACATTGGTGTCTTTCCCCACATCAGCCAAAATGTACAACAATTATGTGGGTGCCATAGAAAGACACGCACAAAGGAAGAGATGGGATCGCCCTAAATAGTGCCACGCTTCTTAGGATAAGTCTCTTGTTGACAAAGAGAGCCCCAGGCCAGGTGACTCCTGGCCCTTTGAGGCAGAGTAAGGCAACTGGTCCTGTGCAGGTTTGCTTCCATCTCTGCCCTCAAGAGAGGAGCTGTATTGGTTGAAATAAATGACACAGCTTCATCTGTGTCTGTCCACTTCTAGCATGTCATTGCTGTGACATGCACATCTTCCTCAAACAATATTATTTAAAGTTATGCTAAGCTGCTATTCTATTAAATTTCTTTGCAATAATCGCGCCCCGGCCCTAATCGTTCTAAATTTTGAAACTTTTTCTAACGGGTAATATGAAGAGTAGTTTTACAAATGTGGTCTTAAGAAGATTAAGAAATGTTCCCGATCCACACTGGTTCACATGGAAACCACCTTCCCACCAGCAGTTAGGACAGTTTCTGAATGAAATATGAGGAAACAATGACTTGGAAACAGCTGTGTCTTTTCTCTTTAAAGAAGAGGGTCGTGTTAGAAGAAAAAAAATGAAGCCTGGGTCAAAAAAATTCAGAGACTCAACTGGGATTGTTTCTCATTGGATTCAGACACAGCCATGAAAGCAGAAATTTGTTAAAATTATGAGGGATTTTTTTTTTTTTAATGCGGAGGTAACTCATTCAAATATCCTTTACACTATAGTAGACCTTTCCAAAATATCTGCTGGCATCTAGTTTATTAATCTACAATTGTTATAGTAATCTGTGATGGGTTTTTTGGTGTTAAAACAGCCACTTCCATTAATGTTTGGTTTTGTACACTTAGAGGTTTTATATCTTTGCGTTAAATAGATAGAAAAAAAATAAGTCATGAATATTCATGGTTGACTAGTAGAATCTTGTACGTTTGGCTCTTAATAGTGTTTTAACTGCCCTGATTTTGGATTTTTTTTATGGAAAAAAAAAAGGTTCATTTCTCTTTTCATGAGCTTTAGAAACCAGTGGACACACCCAAGAACGACTCATTAAGTAACCAGATCAACACAGTTTCCATCAACTCCCCCAAACCCTGGGTGAGAGCATGAACTTGACCACACACAGGCCCACCAGGCCGCAGTTCGCTAACTCAGCAGACCTTGCGGAGAGCTGGGGTAGGAGAGGGCTCTTCTAAGTTTCAGGGAGACGTATGCATTCAGCGGTCAGTACAAAAAGGGCTCCTCCTAGGATGGACACTCCTCAGGGGTCTCTTTTAGGTAACCTTGAGAACCATATACTTTTAATTTTAAATAAGAAGCTAAATCGATGGCCCAAGTTGTTAAGAGCACATGTCTCCCTCTTAGGGGGTTTAAGCCAACATTTGAAATGCCAGTCAGCACCCCTACCATCCTCACCAGCCGCCTAAAATGTGATCCATTTCTTGATTTTCAGCAAGCGCTTTTTGTTTTGGTTTGGTTTTCGTGCATGTGTTTTTGTTGTTGTTTTTCTTACCTAGTGAGATTCTTACAAACGAGCTGGTTTTCATTTGAGACCAAGTGACAATCAGGAAGATTTGCTTAACCTCTGTCCACTAATTGGACCTTTTTGGTCAGTGAACTGGCCAATTTAAAGGAGAGAGGATTTGCTAAGTAAATCAATGATCTAAACGAGATTACCAAGAGCCCGTTTGTCCGCCTAAAAAAACAAACCTCTAGAGTTTAAAACACTGTGTTAGTGCGGGGTTTTTTTTTTTTTGGCAACATAATATGATTGTTACAAATCTCACTGATAAAGGAAGGCCCAGTAAGACTCTCTCTAGGCAAATGTTGACCAGATGTTAAAGCACTAGTTGAGAATGAAATCGTGCCTGTTTCTAAACAGACGTAACTGTGATCTTTGTTGGATTCTCTTCATTCCCACGAGGGCCATTGTCCCACCTTGAGGAGCTCTCAGGTCCTCGGGGTGACCTGGTCCTCTGCATCCTGGCAGCTGTCTAGCGCTTCACTCAGCGCCGCCTCCGAGGACGGGATGTGGGGTTAAGACACGGGCTTAGCCTCCCCCCAGCACAATTTCTTTTCGTGCAGAGATCTGAGAACAGGCTTCAGGAAACAGGCAAATTCCTGGCGACATCCTCACGCAGGTCGAAGTCCACCCGTGTCTGTTCTTTTCTACAGTTGGATCTGTACCTTCAGTTTTCTGCATCGTGTGTGTTATTAGTAGAATAAACCAGGTGGGAATAGATATATACTAAATACTCTTGCATCGTTGAATAATTCTATCACAGACCCCAAACTGGAATTTTAGTCTCCCCTGAAAAGGACCTGAAGAGAACCCTAGGCTCCGATTGGCACGTAGGGGGCAATTTCCCTTCCGTGAGCGCCTTCCCTGCCAATCGTGGCTAATGACACGTTCCCATCAGAGAGCCAGCAGAGGTTACAAAACTCAGCCCTAAATCTTCTAAATCATTCAGAAAAACAGAAGGCACAGGTCCAGCCCTGAGAACAAAAGCTGTGACTTTTCTCCTCTGTGGGTGGATTGCTACAAACCCCACGGGAGTGGGAGAACTCATCTTGAGCCCCTTCAGAGGTGGAGGGAAGGTTTTATAGTCTCTGTGTTCTGGTGTCATATTTGGGTCTTGGGACAACCAGGCTGGTTATTCTTTTTAAGCAGTTGGGGCCACCCTGGAGGGATCTATAGGGAGACTCAGNAACCAGGCTGGTCATTCTTTTTAAGCAGTTGGGGCCACCCTGGAGGGATCTATAGGGAGACTCAGGTGCTTGAACCCCACAACTCTGTTAGAGTCGCCCCTACACCAAGGTTCGCCATCGGCATCCACCGCCCGGTGTTGTAATTGATTATCTGGCTTCCTCACTAGACTAAGTCCTTGAGAGCAGGCACTGAAATGACAAAACGTGGCTGAAAGACCACGGCATTCAGGGGACAGACGAGGGCTTCTGATGACACTGAACCTCTGCCTTCGAGAAAACTCCAGCCCTGAAAAAGCGAGATCGATGCCCTGGGAGAAAAAGGGATTTGCAAAGCAAGTAATTGCACAACTAAGATTTCTTTTTAAAAAAATCAAAAATGTCGAAATTACGATTCAAAGAGCCTCATGCATTTTAGAATCACCCCGGTATGAAGCAGTAGGTCCTTCTTTAAAAAAAAAAATCAAGGGATTCGGAGTTTAAAAACAAAGACCCAGCTCGAAGAGCAAGACCAGCCCCTTTCTGTTGCCTCAGTTTCCTCATCGATAGACTAAAGTCGGTGATGCCTACCTCACAGAGTTGCAAGGGCTGAACGAGACGAGACATGTTAGAGATGCTACCGTGTAGGTATTGCCATCCCAGTCCTTGTCACACTCATCATGTCCCTCTGTCCTCATCAGCACCACCTGCAAAGACTGTCCCACCGGGTGATGAGTGGAAAGGGGAATTCATAGGCCACTCATGGGTACCCCCGAGTTTCAACAGCCTTTTATAGTTTAAAAACTTCCCCCATGATGTGAAATCTACTTTGGCATCAAAGCGTCCAAAACGCTGCTTCCCAGCATCCCTTGCCGCAGGGCTGCAGACAGGTGACAGGTTCTGCCAATCAGCCGGTTGAAGGTGGTGACGCAGCGGGGGTGGCACATTTGCATACCCAGGTGATGCTTGTTTGTGGGTGGAGGCCGAGTCCTCTCCAGGCCCGGCCTTCCGTGCAGTGCCCGAGTCGTTCCTAGAAGCGCCTCCAGCCCTTGTGACATTTCAGTGGGTTTCCTGAGCTCCTGGAATAAATCCTGTCCTGCTGACAACCGGCTGGAACGGGCTCTGTCATCCGCAGCTCAGGACCCTGGTCAGCAGAGCGGGATTTTAGAACCTCAGCAGCCTCGGCTTCATCGACGGGGTGGAGAGATGAAGGTAAGGCTCGCTGGCCTCTGCCAGCACCTCGGCCACTAGATTCCTGTCACATTTAGGATTTGCCCTGAGTTGTAAATTCTACCCAGACACCGCTGTGTCTCCTGTTAATTTACAAGTATGCTAAATATTGTAGTAATACCGTCTGGCCCTCAGAGCCTCTGAAACATCCACTTCCCAGCATCTGCTAGCAGGAGAAACAGCTCTGCCAGGATGCCTAACTGGTGTCGTAGAGGCAGGGCCTGCGCCCAGTTCTCCCAGTGACTTCCCTGTGAGACCTGCCCACTTGGAAAAGGGAAATGTGAGCCGAGGGTGGGGGCAGGGGAGCAG